GGACATAAAACCTCTTTGATTGAATTTTCACAGCAAACAAAATGACAGAAGTTGCTCATTTTTTCATACTGAAAAGTTTGATGTCTCTATTTTATGAAATTGGAATAAAATTTGGGGGTCACCGGCCATCCAAGAGATTTTTTGACCTCTAAAAATGAGTGCAAAAAGGCTAAATATAGGGAAAATGGACATAAAACCTCTTTGATTGAATTTTCACAGCAAACAAAATGACAGAAGTTGCTCATTTTTTTATACTGAAAAGCTTGATGTCCCTATTTTATGAAATTGGAATAAAATTTGGGGGTCACCGGCCATCCAAGAGATTTTTTGACCTCTAAAAATGAGTGCAAAAAGGCTAAATATTGGGAAAATGGACATAAAACCTCTTCGATTGAATTTTCACAGCAAACAAAATGACAAAAGTTGCTTATTTTTTCATACTGAAAAGCTTATTGTCTGTATTTTATGAAATTGGAATAAAATTTGGGGGTCACCGGCCATCCAAGAGATTTTTTGACCTCTAAAAATGAGTGCAAAAAGGCTAAATATAGGGAAAATGGACATAAAAACCTCTTTGATTGAATTTTTACAGCAAACAAAATGACAGAAGTTGCTCATTTTTTCATACTGAAAAGCTTGATGTCCCTATTTTATGAAATTGGAATAAACTTTGGGGTTCACCGGCCATCCAAGAGATTTTTTGACCTCTAAAAATGAGTGCCAAAAGGTTTAATATAGGGAAAATGGACATAAAACCTCTTTGATTGAATTTTCACAGCAATCAAAATGACAAAAGTTGCTAATTTTTTCATACTGAAAAGCTTGATGTCTCTATTTTATGAAATTGGAATAAAATTTGGGGGTCACCGGCCATCCAAGAGATTTTTTGACCTCTAAAAATGAGTGCAAAAAGGCTAAATACAGGGAAAATGGACATAAAAACCTCTTTGATTGAATTTTCACAGCAAACAAAATGACAGAAGTTGCTCATTTTTTCATACTGAAAAGCTTGATGTCTCTATTTTATGAAATTGGAATAAACTTTGGGGGTCACCGGCCATCCAAGAGATTTTTTGACCTCTAAAAATGAGTGCAAAAAGGTTAAATATAGGGAAAATGGACATAAAACCTCTTTGATTGAATTTTCACAGCAAACAAAATGACAGAAGTTGCTCATTTTTTCATACTGAAAAGTTTGATGTCTCTATTTTATGAAATTGGAATAAAATTTGGGGGTCATCGGCCATCCAAGAGATTTTTTGACCTCTTAAAATGAGTGCAAAAAGGCTAAATATAGGGAAAATGGACATAAAACCTCTTTGATTGAATTTTCACAGCAAACAAAATGACAAAAGTTGCTCATTTTTTCATACTGAAAAGCTTGATGTCCCTATTTTATGATATTGGAATAAAATTTGGGGGTCACCTGCCATCCAAGAGATTTTTTGACCTCTAAAAATGAGTGCAAAAAGGCTAAATTTAGGGAAAATGGACATAAAAACCTCTTTGATTGAATTTTCACAGCAATCAAAATGACAGAAGTTGCTCATTTTTTCATACCGAAAAGCTTGATGTCTGTATTTTATGAAATTGGAATAAAATTTGGGGGTCATCAGCCATCCAAGAGATTTTTTTACCTCTAAAAATGAGTGCAAAAAGGCTAAATATAGGGAAAATGGACATAAAAACCTCTTTGATTGAATTTTCACAGCAATCAAAATGACAGAAGTTGCTCATTTTTTCATACTGAAACGCTTGATGTCTCTATTTTATGAAATTGGAATAAAATTTGGGGGTCACCGGCCATCCAAGAGATTTTTTGACCTCTAAAAATGAGTGCAAAAAGGCTAAATATAGGGAAAATGGACATAAAAACCTCTTTGATTGAATTTTCACAGCAAACAAAATGACAGAAGTTGCTCATTTTTTCATACGGAAAGCTTGATGTCTCTATTTTATGAAATTGGAATAAAATTTGGGGGTCACCGGCCATCCAAGAGATTTTTTGACCTGTGAAATGAGTGCAAAAAGGCTAGACATAGGGAAAATGGACATAAAACCTCTTTGATTGAATTTTCACAGCAAACAAAAATGACAGAAGTTGCTCATTTTTTCATACTTAAAAGCGTGATGTCTCTATTTTACGAAATTGGAAAAATATTTGGTGGTCACTCGCCATCCAAGAGATTTTTTGGCCTCGGTAAATGAGTGCAAAAAGGCTAAATATAGGGAAAATGGACATAAAACCTCTTTCATTAAAATTTCACAGCAAACAAAATGACAGAAGTTGCTCATTTTTTCATACTGAAAAGCTTGAAGTCTCTATTTTATAAAATTGGAATAAAATTTGGGGGTCACCGGCCATTCAAGAGAATTTTTAACCTCTGAAAATGGGTGCAAATAGGCTAATTTCTGAATGGATATAGGGGAAATTGGAAAAAAACCTTTCTTTTTGAATATTCACAGGAAAAAAAATGACAGAACTTGCTAATTTTTATGCCCCATCGTAGCTGAGGAGGCATTGAATTTTACCCTTGTCCGTATGTAAGTCTGTTCGTCCGTATGTACGTCCAAGATTTGATTTCCGTTCTCCAGCTTTTATTTGCCTCAACCAAATGTTATGAAACTTTATCACAATGTTTTTACCACACAACACACACCAAGTTTTAATTGTGTTGGTGTCACTTTAACCGTTCTAGAGTTATGCCCCTTTACAAATTGAAAAATTGCTGAATTTTTCCTTTCCTTTCTCTAACTTTAGGGAGCTACCATTTGATTTTTATGGGGGGGCTAGGATGAAAAATTTTGTTCTGCCTTTTTATTTTTACCTCTATTCAGTCCTGCCGTTTTATTTAGTTTATCCTGACTTTTTTTCTTACATAAATTGTCATCCTGCCTTTTTTTTTGGCAAATAATCTCATCCTGCCTTTTTTTTTACTCAAAACTCCTGTCCTGCCTATTTTTTTCAAATTTCATCCTAGCCCCCCCATAAAAATCAAATGGTAGCTCCCTTAGTTTGCTTTTACCAAATGTTATGATTGATATCTTGCAGTTTCCTTTGCATTTTCTTATCAAACTTTGAAGTATTATTAAGTATCATGTGCAGATTTCGGTGTAAATAGGCTGTGTTTGCTTTATATATAAGACTCATTTCTAAAGGAGCACCAACATAAAATATAATGTAAAGGAATCATGGCATTTTCTGTTTATTTTCTTATTATGATATGAGTTAGAATGTCCCATTTAAGTATGGTTAATCTTTCTTTTATCACACATTAAAGATTCAGATAAATGTGAGCATTTGTTCTCGTTTTCTTTTCATTTCTTTTTAATATTAAAAAAATACATTCCGAATAAATTTGACAAAAAATAGACTTACCATCACTACCACACATAATCAGCACAGTAAGTGCCCCTCTTTTTCCACTCCATTTGATTATCCAGTATTATGTGGTGATGTGCAAGTTATAATTGTTTTTTTTTGTGTGTTACCGAGTTGATTTAGGGAATTAACATGACTAAACATATTTCTTGATAGAAGTGAAACAACAATGTTCATGTGATCTAATACATTTATTTTATTTTCAATGGATATCTGTTCTTACGTTTGTTTGTACATATATAATTAAATAAAGATGCCAAATAAATTACATGTTTTTCTCAGTTAGAAATACTGTTTGTAGTAACTAGGTTAAATAATTTCACTGAATAGAATTTGCAAAGCCTTGCTAATAATATAAATTTTTAAAAACATATTAAGACATTTTGCTTTGGACTTCAACATGACAAATTCTAGATTTAACCCTAATTTGGTTTATTATACAATTATTTGCAAAATGTAGATCATAATGAATATGTGTAAAATTTCATTAACTATGTTCAGCACAAACATTGACCTGACCAATACCTGAACACATGTATCATCATGTAAACATCAAATAGTCATGATTGAAGACATCAAAATACTGTTTGTTTGAATATATTTGCCGTAACTTGTATAAGTCTTTCTGATATCATTTTATCCCATATTCAATCTTTTAAAGATGGAGATCTCCTTCTTTCCCATCCACAGAGGTAGGAGTATAATTATGTCAGACATCTCATTCAAAATTTTACTTTTTGAATATACAGTATTTTGATACTTCTGTACAAATAGATGAAAGTATGTTATCTATAGATAGCTTTTTAAAGTTTCAACAGCAATAACATTTCTAAATAACCTTGGATGTCTTTTTACTAATATAAACACCTGAGAGAAAAGACTACAATTGTTCCTGCAGCTTTTTTATAATTGTTAAGCTATTTTCCAAAAATTTCTATATACTTGTTCTAATTGCCTGTACAAGCAATAAAAAAAATCCACCAAAATATATATAAAAAAACACAGAAAAGACTAAGATTTATAGAACTGTTAATTCAACATATTTTAAAACTCTTATCTCAAGTTGAACTTTTTTTCAAGAAAGTGTACAGTCAAAATTTATCATACTATGTTCATACAGTCTATCTTTATGAACAAAATTTGGGTTATAGCCGGATAAATTACTTCACTGGATTATGTATGCATTAAAAACTCAAATGCATCTCATCCAGTACATGTAAGTAATGGTCTTCCAATCAACGATAAATTATTACACAAACTTAAAAAAATTGATATCTAAAAAAATTCAAGGTTCATATAAAGTTGTATAACTATCAAAACAATTTGGTTTATATCATGAAGATATGTCTACAATACATTTACAAATATTACAGCAGGGCTCACGCTACCATTTACAGTAATTTACAGTACACATTAATGTTTATCTCTGATCATGAATTTCAACAAAAAGTTAGTTAAGGTAAAGTTCTGCATAACAACGATCAATTTTCTAATTCTTATCATACAGGAGGAATAATATTTTATGTTAAAACTTCATGACCTCCCCTGTAACTGTATCATATGCTCTTAAAGTATTACCACTGACTGACTACCTTATATAACAAAACATATTTTTCCTTTACTTTTGACTAATTAGATACTCATATACTCTTTGTATAATTTTTTTGTTTGATGTCACTCTAACTACCCCAGTTGAAGACTTTTCTGTCATTAAGGCTTTGAGTCCTGCCATGTCATTTCGTTGTACTGCTAATTGGAAATGTTGAAACCTTAGGTTAGACCTCGCTGTCTTTAGTGCCATAGCTTTTGACAGACATTTTGATTGAACTAGCTTTTCAAAAGTTTTCAAGTTGGCCAATTGCATCTGGTATAACTGAGGGTAGCTAGGTGAAAAAGCAAGTTCACTAATAAATTGAGAAACATTACCTTTCTCAGTGACTAAATTAAAAAGTAATTTTGTGTCATACACAGCATTATGAGATTCATACTGTTGACCTAATAGTTTGTCAACAAGAAAAGACTGGCTATAAGATGACAAGCCAGGTGAAACAAGTTTAAACAAATTCAAAGAGTCTAAAAATGCAACAATACTTGCACATAGTTCACTGTACATATTCATACATTTTAAGGTATGAAATAAAACATGGCAGTCAAATCGTTTTATATTATGTCCTACCAATAAAGGTTTATCTGTGAAACTTGACAAATAAGTTAAAAAATCAGTCATTCCTTCATGTTTATGCTTATAAACAACAGCATTACCATTGTAATACATTTTTTGTCCTACAATAGTGATTTTTGTTATTTCTGATGCTTCTCTTGAAATTTGTTGGTCTGGAAATATATATCGACTGAAGGAACTGTCTTTGGTGCATGCAGCTATCTGGGTTATATCAGAATATCTACCTGAAGTTAAACATTTTGTTTATTATTGTGCATCTAAACTGTAAAAGGTATTTCAAAAAAGCAATTAATTGTCAAAAAATTATCAACAGGACTAAGTCTTCTATCCCCCTTATTTGAACTTTAGTTGATGGTCTTATTGGCAATTATACCACATCTCCTTATTTCATATCTCTCTTCAGTGAAATAACTTTAAAAAATTAGTTTTGCTCCACTGGTCTGTAAATATTTTTCTAAAATTATCATCTTTGTATTTTATCTCACCTCCAAAATAAGGTAGATGCAAAGTGTAAATTGCTAAAAAAAAATGAAAGAGTTATTGCCCCTTAAATGTATTGTTTCAGCAATTTTCAGTTTTTTGTTTTATTTCAACTAAAAGAAAAAAAGAACATTAGAATAATCATCAAAATCAAGCTAAATTATCAAGATGAGTCATTCATGATCCTCTTAATATACTTTATTCATAACGCAGCCTAATATGCATTGACTTTAAAATTTGGCTTAACACAGTATATACAGACATTGATAATGTGTTTCTGTAGATATTGTTATATCTTTGATGTCATGAAAGAATGCAGTTCTTTCAATTTTAACGTTATCCACTGAAATATTTTTTTATAATTGAGGTAACTCATTTCTGAAGTTTAATTATGTATAACTTACTTAAACCAGTTGTCTCTAAATCAAAACAAACTATTGGTGCATCATCTATGTTTGTAAAGGTTTCAGCTTCAGGAATTGCAGGTATTTCTTCTATGTCTATTGTTGCAAAATCTTCTAACCCTAATTAAAATAAAATATACCAAGTCTTTGAAAGAAAATAATTTCAACTTTATAAAATATCAAAATCTACTAAAATTCATTAATATTTTGTGACTAAATTGTCCCAAGAATTACAATACTTCAGAAGTCTGGTAAATTTCATGATTACATCTTCATGTTAATTATTTAACTTTAATGTCTGGCTGAAATCTCACGAATTTTCACAGTTGGTGATTAATTGCACAGTCACTTTATAATTTGAAAACTTTTTTGACTTGGGGACATAAAAATATATACATGAATATTACATATGCATGGACCTGATGGTGTAGCATTCTCCTATTTGGATATAATGATCACATGTATCAAAGGTTATTTTATATATCCAAAGCCTTGTTTCTATTTTAAAGTATATTGATGCTATGTTTCTATTATAATAATAATTATGTATATTGACCTCTTCAAAAGTAAAAAGCACATCATACTTTCTGTCAATATATATATATATAAGAATTATTACCGATTGAACTGTGGTATGTTCTCCCTTCTTTGACTTCAGCCACTGTTGTTTTTTGGAGGCGTTTCTTTTTGAGAACTTTACGTTGTCTTTTTCCCTGTTTGCTTTTGAATCTGTTTTTGTTGCCCTCTCTCTTCTTGTTTAATTTATTACCCCTGCTTAGGGTCTCATTTCCAGGTGACAGGCCTATAGATGTGTTTAACTGAAAAATCAATTCATTTAAAATCATGCAAGTCTTTATCATCTTTATAATAATTCCTTAAAAAAAATCATATTTTGTATGTTTTTGCAATGAAAGTTGAAGGCATTTTGTAGTATGAATATTACATTTTGAGCAGGAATAATCAATCATTGAATAGAATTCGGCAAAATTGAGATTAATCTTGACCTGATGTAGAATAATCAGAATATTTACCCAGGAATCTTTAACAGTTGATATCATAATGTATTGTTTTTTTTGCTCATTTTTAAAGGCTGTAAAAGTAAGGGCTTTTCCAGAATTAATGGTATGGGAGGGAGGAAGGCACTTTTATTAAAATTTGATGGGTGGTGGTTATTTAAGAAAGATTGCCTGAACATTATATGAAATATCCAATTTAAAATGTATGCATGGTGGGGTCAAATAAAAAGTGCCTTCCTACCCCCCCCCCCCCATGATACATTTGGAAAAGCCCTAACATAGTTGCTTAGATATGTCTTTTTGTCTTTGGTAAATAGATGTCTCATTTGCAATCATACCGTATTTTCTTATTTTTATATTTTTTTAGTTTATTTTTTTTAATAGAGAAGTATATATATATATGAAGTAAGATTGCATTTATTACACATTCATTGTGATTATTAAAGCCTTAATGTTAGTTGCTAATTTCTGTTCAATTGTCTTAATTGCAATTAAGTATAGGATGTTTATCAAATAATACCTCAGCAATGTAATTATAACCCTCATTCTTTTGGAGTACAGCTGAGCTGACTCTGTAATTTAAAGATGCTGATGTGGAGAAATGTTTGGTTTTTGGAGCTTTGAGAGCAATTAAGTTATTAAAGCTTTCATTTGCCTGTGATGAGCCCAAGTTAGATAGCTTTTTAGACTGTGGAACCATTTTTTGAATAAACAGTTTCTCAAGATCTGATCTGAGTTCAGACGAACATAGGTCTTTTCCACGGGGAAGATTTGAATGGATATAAGAATCCTTGTCTTTAAGGTATCCGCACCAAGTTTCATTGCAGTTATCATGTTCGCCAAATATGTGTTTTATTGATGCATGTAGGCCGTCCTCAATACCACTCGGATTACCTACATTCTGGTTGACAACGTATGTAAAGTTTTTAACAATTGCGTCACAAACCATTCCAGATAACTCTTTGTGTTTTGGCTTTAGTTCATTTATCTTTGAAATAATGTTATGTTTGATATGATTTCTATCACTTATTTTTTCCATTTTTGAATTGGGCATTAATCGCTTGGCTCGGTCAAACCCTGTGGAATCATCATCTCCTACTACTTCTAATATATCCACTCCTTTTTCATCTAATTCCTTTAACATTTCGACTACCATATCTGGTTCCATACCCTGAAATAGTTTTTAAAATAATGTGTATTCAGTAAACATTTAGATGATACCACAACCCCATATTTGATTATCAAAAGCCTTAAACTTTGCATTGACAAAATTTTTTGTAAAAATTCCTCAAAAATGAAAGCTTACACGGTTTGATTAATTCAACAGTTGTATCTAACAATTCTAATAATCTGTCAATTATTTGAAATTGAAATGTTTTGGAAACACGAAAGAATGAATGGTCCTCACATTCACTTTTATCAACTAAACATTGAATATGCCAATTCAAAATTACAACTTATTGTCAAAGTAAATATTGAAGTGTTGTTTGTTTTCACAATGCAAAGATTACGGGACGTATTATGGGATATCGTTGTCCGTCTGTTCTTCTGTTGTCAACATGTAAGACATTAAATTAACTCAAAAACACTTTAACTAATTTGCATAAAACTTTGATGAATTGTTATGTATATTGATGTGAGATCCCTTTGGTTTTTTATAAATTTTAGATTTTACATTTCCGAGTTATGGGGTTTTATTCATTAAAAAAGGGGTGATTTTCCAGTTTTGGACATGACTCAAAAATGCTTTCAGCAATTCTCATGAAACTTTAGTGAATTGTTTATATCTATTGATGTAAGCTCCCTTTTGATTTTTATACATTTGAAATATGACATTGAGAAGTAATTGAACTTTTTCTTTGAAAATGTGACGGGCGTATCATGTGCTCATGGCGCAGCTGTTTATTACCATTGTTATTGCTTTCATATGGTAAATACCTTTGCCGAACCACTCCAATTCTTTCTACACTTATGTTGTCGTGGTAAGACACCTCTGCTCTTTGCCCTTTCACAAATTCTACAGCTTGATATGCGAACCTTATGGTTTACAACTTTGCCTGTGGTTTTTCCAATCAGTGTTGAAACTCCTTCAAAATGCAACATATTGAAGTTTTATATCTAAATCACTATGTTCAAGCCAAGATTTGAAAAGAACAGGTTTATATTGAGCATATCAAAGAACCCCATATACTAAAATGTTGTTGAAATAAAACAAAATTTAATTTTGGACCCCAATTTCGACCAACTTGAAAACAAGGCCAAACAAATCAAAAATCTAAATACACGATAAGATTCACCATATCAAAGAACCCCAAGATCTCAACTTTTGAAGAATCAAAAAAAAAATTTGACTCCTTTACACCTTAATGTGAAATTATTTATTTGAAAATTGGTACCAAATTCAATAAAATGCTCCACTGGGCGCAGCTTGATACGACCGCAGAGGTTGAACCCTAAACAGTTGGGGCAAGTATGGACACAACATTCAAGCTTGATACAGCTCTGAATTTGGATTGTGATAAAATATTTGACACAGCATAGGTTTCTGACACAGAATGAATGTGGTCTAAGAACTTAAAAAATTTTAATTTACCTTTATGGTCCAATATCCAAAATCTAAATACATGGTTAGATTCAGCATATCAAAGAATCCAAAGAATTTAATTTTTGATGAAATCTATATATAAATCAGAAATAACCAACTTAAAATGGAAAATTTTAAAGAAAAAAAAAAAGGAAAAAAAGGAAAAAAAAATCCCCCCCCCAATTTTTTGAACCCCCTTATGATTCATCACCCCCAAACTCAATCCCAGCCTTCCCTTTGTGGTATGGTACCTTGCAGTACAATTTCAGAGAGATCCATACACTTGAACACAAGTTATTGTCTGGAAACTAGAAAAATGCTTATTTTTTGCCCCTTTTGGCCCCTTATTCCTAAACGTTTTGGGCAATTACCCCCAAACTCAATTCGAGCTTTCCCTTTGTGATATGGAACCTTTTAGTACAATTTCAGATAGATCCATACACTTACACACAAGTTATTGTCATGAAACTAGAAAAATGCTTGTTTTTTGCCCCCTTTTTTGCCCCTAATTCCTAAAATTTTGAGGCAATTACCCCCAAAATCAATCCCAGCCTTCCCTTTGTGGTATGTTACCTTGCAGTACAATTTCAGAGAGATCCATACACTTGAACACAAGTTATTGTCTGGAAACTAGAAAAAATGCCTGTTTTTTGCCCCTCGGGGGTTTAAATTTTCGCGCCTTCTGCTCATACGCCGGAATGCTAAAAGAAAGTCAACAGACACTACTATTTTTCCAGAGGACTAATAAAAATGTCAGGTGACATATGTGGGGTTGGGAAGGTTAGAAACTCTACATGAAAGAAACCTGTTGCAGCTTTCGTGTTGACATCAAAAATTCCAACACCTTTCTTTTCTCTCCCAAAGTGGACCTTGCCTAGTTTAATTCTGTTTAAAGTTTGACATGACGAGTTTTGACAAATAATGTACACTATGCCGGTCAGTCCATAGCATGTTTACTTCCTTTTAATATTTAGACACCATAGTGATTAATCAAATTTGGCCTAGAAGTTTCAGAGGTGAATATTTGTGTAAAAGATAATGGACGGTGACAAATGCCAAGTGAGGAGAAAAGCTCACTTGAACCTTTGGGACATGCGAGGTAAAAAATTAGAAAACTGACGTAGGAAACCTCTCGCACATAAACAAAAATAAATTCGGATACAAACTAAGCAATATATTTAATCGGGTTTCAAGTTTCGGGAATTTTGTCACAGGATAAAATTTAGGATATATATGTCCTATGTAAATATAAAGTGTCTTACAAAAAACCTAACTACTTGATGAAAAACACAGCACAAACTTATTTTTATGCCCCACCTACGATAGTAGAGGGGCATTACGTTTTTCAGTCTATGCGTCCCTTCGTTTGTTCGTTCATTCGTCCGTCCCGCTTCAGGTTGAAGTTTTTGGTCAATGTAGTTTTTGATGACGTTGAAGTCCAATCAACTTGAAATTTAGTACACATATTCCCTATGGTATGATCTTTCTAATTGTAAATGCCAAATAAGAGTTTTGACCCCAATTTCACATGACGGTCCACTGAACATAGAAAATGAGTGGAGCATCCATGTATTATGGACACATTCTTGTTTGTTGACTAGTTTGAGTACTGCATTTTGTGAGCTGCCAGGTTAATAAGACAAAAAAATAATATAAAGATATTGAATTGATATTGTATAGTGTATAGTGTATATCTTTAGGTGTAATACCACCAAATCATAGCAAGTCACATCCGGTTGCATACAAAAATAGGTTGAAAAAAAATATTCCCTTAAACATTTCTGGGTCATAAACATATACCTTGGGTATTTCAAAGCACCATTATTTTTTTATTTGGGGTTTCTATAGAATATTTTGGAAACTTGAGTGGATTGATTCTCCAAAACACATTTTATAAGAAAATTTCCTTGAAATAGGACTTTACCATGAATATTAATTGACAGAACAAGCCATACTTAGAGTTTTGGGGAGCTTTTTCTCCTTATTTCTTGTATTCTGCTATACTAGAAAATTTTTCCTGAGAAATACTTTTATAAATATATAGTTTTAAGTAAATGAAATTATTTTTAAAGCAGTAACAACAAATTATTCACCAAAAGAGAAGCTTTTTATGTCCCTCTCTGGAACGCGGTGTAAATTTAAGTTTTATGTAAGGACTTATTGAAACCTCCTTGGAGACAGTAAACTTTTATACGGATAGTTCATTCAGCTTGAATACTTCAATTAATCATTTATTATAACATTTCTATCATAAATGAGTGAAAGTTACCAAAATTTTTATTTATTGGCCTAAAAAGTAGAAATTTTGAGGAAATGAGAGGTATGAATCGACCAAAAGAGACCTTATAAGGAAGACAAAGAGGTCCATTAGTAATATTTATCATCCTAAAGTCATCTTTTGTATCATGTTCAACTGTTTGTAGGCAGATGAGATAAATATTTGATCATTTATTGGTCCACACTATATTCCATCATGATGCAGCTTGGTTTGGATTTTTCAAAGAAAGCTGTAGATGTCGTCTTACATTATACTAGATTTTTCTCAAACTATTGAACTGATTATGACAGAACTTGACAGGAATGCTTGAAATAACCAGTATTACAAAAGAAAAAAGTCACATTCAGTTTATTTAACAAAAAAGTCTTCTTTAGGTGTAGTACCACCAAATCATAGTACGTCACATCCGGTTGCATATGAAAATAGGTCGAAAAAAATATTCCCTTGAATTTGACAGTTGTAGGTAATTGATCCTACATTTCATTGCAGTAAAACATTTCTGGGTCATAAACATATATCTTTGGTATTTCAAAGCACCATTATTTTTTTATTTGGGGTTTCTATAGAATATTTTGGAAACTTGAGGTTACATGGTTACTAAAGCTTGTACACAGGTTAAAAAAGTGAAAATTTAATTAATTAACTTCCAGTGTTGGTTATTTTTTTATATGCCATGAAATGTTATGTGAAATATTTTTTATAGTACTGGAAAGGATAAAACTTTACTCATGCCAAGTATTTCTTTATTTGAAACAGATAAATTCTGCACAATTTTTTGAAAAGTGCAAATTTAACGAAGACTAATATGGGAAAATCAATGGTGGTATTACACCTTTATATTATTTATATACACTATACAGTATATATAATACACTATACAATATCAATTCAATAACTCATACTATAAAAATAATCTCATCTTAACCTTATGTATTTCATTTTGAAAAACTAAATAACTACATTCCAATGATTCGTGGCTGACCAGGTAAAAACCCACTTTTAGGAACCTGAGTCCTTTTGTCAATGCCAGCTAAACTCTAGGGTAGGACCTTACTAGGGAATGAGAAAGACAAAAATTGATTTTGTGCATTAACTACAAATATAACACAACACAAACATAATCTTACTTTGCTGACAGCCTGTTATGCTCGATGTATGCCAGATTGTATTATATAAATATTCACAAATACTATTATTGCAATGCATACATAATTCAAAATCAAAATGTATAACACCTCGTGATCAGATGCCAACCTTCGCTGCGCTACGCGCGATGCGGTAAGCCCAGTGCTGTATTCTTCTGTATATAGATACTATTTTGAGTATTATGATGACAATGCCGGTACCGCTAGTTTTCTGTGTTGCAGATTTTGAGACTTCATATGCATGATTCAGGATATAAAACTACTTTTGGCAATTTTTTCCCGTATGATTTATAAAGAAACTAATTCCTATCATAGAATTTAACCAAATGCCAGCTTCTTAGTCAAAATTTATTGGTTTTAAAGTAAATTTTACGTTGAAATGTAATGTGTCGCTCAGGGTGTCATATTTTGCATCTCTGAAGGGGAGGCACTTATTAAAACAAGGATAGATTTGTCGTTAATTCGGTCCTTATCCGATAGTTTGTAATTCAAGCAGAAAAAAATGATATCTTCAGAAAATCGCTTCTTTGCACAGTATCTGCTTCTCGTGTTGTAGGAAATATAACCAACAAACAAATCGCAACATTGTTTGAGACATACGAGACTGACCTGGCATGTAATTTAGAAGAATTCAATCGGGAGGTCATTCAATGGCGAACATGCTCGATGGCGAAAAAAATGTCCTGATTTTCAAGATGTAAGCCATTTAAACTTGGCAAGAAATGATTCTGTAGATTTTTCATACATTTAACATTGGCACCTTTTTTCTTTTATCAAATGCGTGACATTTTTCAATGGACCCCTTTAGTTTATTTTACACAGGCGTATTAAGGAAATGTAGTCCAGCAGAGTTCTCAATAAGTGGTGGTAAGAAGGTTTTGCCCTCCACCATATTCAAAGGACTGACTATTTTGTTCTTTTTCTATAGTGAGGATCAGCAGATTATCTTCAAGGACTCTCTGATGAAAACCAAACGTAATATGTTGATATTTATATTTTCATGCAGACAACATTGATTTATTCAAACATTTCTTAGATTTCTGACGTTATTCCCATGACTTTTGTATGTGATCATGTATGTTGAACAAAAAATATTAGACACTGTGACTCTGAAAAGAAACTATCTCTGAACTAAAGATATTTGTAAACAATTTTTATTGTAATGAGCATGGTCTTGACTAGAATAAAAACTACATATAAATTATATTGAGTTATCATATGATTTGTGTATTCCTAGTACAATACATAATTTTACGTATGTATTAATCGGTGTAATTCTGAATTTTACAAGTTGGTTCTACAATATCATTAAAACTATATGATGGTTCACTCTGCATTAAAAGCCACAATAAATCTAAGATTAAAACTATATGATGGTTCACTCTGCATTAAAAGCCACAATAAATCCATGATTTAAATATATGTTAAAAGTTTAAAATTTGTATCCCCCCTTTTTTACTAGTATGACACATACTGTACAACTAGAATGTACAATTTGTTCCAGAATATTTTGTTTACCTGGAGTACATTTGTATATGGGAAACACTGTGAAGGCAATTAAGGGTTTGTATATCGAGACTATGAAAAAGGGTAGGTACATGTAACTAAACATGCTATAGAATATATAGACCTAATTGAAAGGAAATGAAAAAACTATGAGTGACAAGCATATAATAGCAAAACAAGTTGTGAACAGTCCTGTTTAGACTAACTTAATTCTTGATATTTTAATGTGGCTCTTTATTCCAGGCTTGTGACTGGCAAGTTGTACTGTATTCATAATAATAAGCACCTTGGTTTTATTTAGAAATCAAAAATGGGGTATCTTATACATGTATCAATAAAAATGATAAAAGATGTAAATATTGGTCTGCTCTAGATGATGATTGTAAAGATAATTTTTAAAATAGATTTTCTGAATGATGAGGTTATATTATTGAATCAAGCATTATTAGGCAAATCTAAGAGTACTATCACGATTGTGGGTGTTATGGTGCATGAAAATTGGCGAATACAGTATTACTTGGCTGCATTACCCACCTCCCTCCTCATATATTTTTTTCTTTCTTTTTTTTTTCTTTTCCTTTCTTTTTTTATCTTTTTTTTCATTTTGTTTATTTCTATTTTCTTTTCTTTTTTTCTGTCTTTTTTTTTTCTTTCTTTTCTATTTTTATCTTTCTTTTCTTTTTTTTTTCTTTCATTTTGTTTTCATTTTCTTTTCTTTCCTTTTTTCTATTCATTACATGTATGTACACAAGTTTCAAGCACATGCATTATTTTTTTTTTTTTTTTTTCCCTTTCTTATATAAATATAAATATAAATATATACATGTATGTACAGTCTTCTAAACCTTGTAGAAGATTTTGAACAATGTTTTTAGAATCAGAACTAGGTACTGATGCCCCAACGTTCCATTAGTTGTTTTGTTTGTTGATGCATTTTTTGTCTTCATTTGGTTGTATTTTCCAAGCGGTTTAAATCCAACAATCATCTTGGCTCTCTCATACTGTTCAGTAAAAGACCTGTTTCCTGGATTTTCCGTTGCAAGTCTTCTGTATTTTGTAAAACTTTTAACTTCTTCGCCGGTTCCTAGAATTGTATCAACCAGTGTTGATGTTATTTTGTCTGGAAAAAAAGATTTATTGATTTATAACATTAAAGAAGACTAATGATAGTACTCATCAATGAGTTGTAGATCAAACAGAATTTTTTTTTTATATATTTTATTGTTTTAAGTTGATTATCTACATAGGGAATCATTTAAATTATATTGGGATATTATGACCAAAAGGCTAGTTTAGCTAGTGCATTCTCAGATAGTAGCCTGGAAACTCCAGACCAATTTAACAAAAAAGTTTTTGGAGCAATGCTTCATTTAAACCCAATTCACATTCAGCTGTGCATATATTTGTGTACATGTACTTTAATACAGGGCACACATGGGCAGTCAACTAGAATGTAATTGGGCTTGCATGCACTTTCTTGCAATCTCTTGAAAAATTCGTAAGGGTTCCGCGGAACCCAGTGTCTCGCCTACTTTTGCTGTTAATCGCATCCTCAACAAAAATGAGAGAAAAAAATCAATAAAAATATTCCTTTAGATACTATCTTTTGATTGTAAGAAGCTTCTGTCAAAGTTTGGTATAAATCCAGGATAGTTTATGAATCTAATAAATGTTTTAAAAACTTTAACTGCAGACTGTATTTAATGTTAACTGGAAGAAAAATTCGTAAGGGTTCCACGGAACCCAGTGTCTCGCCTACTTTTTCTGTTAATCGCAGACTCAACAAAAATGAGGAAGTAAATCAATAAAAATATTCCTCTTGATACTATCTTTTGATTGTAAGAAGCTTCTGTCCAAGTTTGGTAAAATTCCAGGATAGTTTATGAATCTAATAAATGTTTAAAAACTTTAACTGCAGACTGAATGTAATGTTAACTGGAAGAAAACAAAATTTCCATCTAAATAATGGCATTTGATCATAAACAAGCTTCTGTCCAAGTTTGGTACAAATCCAAAATAGTATAAGAAAGTTATTAAAATTTTAAAAACTTTAACCACCGAGTGAATATGTTGTTTCCTGGCAGAAAATCTAAGTCCATTTAAAAGTAAAATACGGAAAAAATGGATTTATTTTTTTACAAAATTTCCTTCTAGATACTAGCTTTTGATCATAAACAAGCTTCTGTCCAAGTTTGGAATAAAATCAAAATAGTATAAGAAAGTTATTAAAATTTTAAAAACTTTAACCACAGAGTGAATGTGTTGTTTCCTGGCAGAAAATCTAAGTCCATTTAAAAGTAAAATAAGGAAAAAATGGATTTATTTTTTTACAAAATTTACTTCTTGATACTATCTTATGATCATAAACAAGCTTCTGTCCAAGCTTGGTACAAACCCAGGATAGTTTAAGAAAGTTATTCAAATTTTAAAAACTTTAACCACAGAGTAAATGTAATATTTACCAGCAGAAAAACTAAGTCCATTTATAAGTAAAATACAGAAAAAATGGAATTTTATTTTTACAAAATTTACTTCTGGATACTATCTTATGATCATAAACAAGCTTCTGTCCAAGTTTGGTAGAAATCCAGGATAGTTTAAGAAAGTTATTAAAATTTCAAAAACTTTAACCACAGAGTGAATATTTGTGGACGCCGACGACGCCGACGGAATGTAGGATCGCTATGTCTCGCTTTTTCGACTAAAGTCGAAGGCTCGACAAAAACTAAGTCCATTTATAAGTAAAATACGGATAAACAGGTACAAATTTGAACAAAATTTCCTTCTAGATACTAGCTTTTAATCATAAACAAGCTTCTGTCCACATTTGGTACAAATCCAGGATAGTTTTAGAAAGTTATTAAAATTTTAAAAACCAGAGTGAAAATATTGTTTCCTGGCAGAAAAACTAAGTCCATTTATAAGTAAAATACGGAAAAAATAAAAAAAATTTTTTAACAAATTTAACTCTGGATACTATCTTATGATCATAAAAAAGCTTCTGTCCAAGTTTGGTAGAAATCCAGGATAGTTTAAGAAAGTTATTAAAATTTCAAAAACTTTAACCACAGAGTGAATATTTGTGGACGCCGCCAACGACGCCGACGGAATGTAGGATCACTATGTCTCGCTTTTTTGATTAAAGTCGAAGGCTCGACAAAAATCATACATACTGTGGATTCATTATTAATAGTTGGATAACAATTTTTGTGGATTTCGTGGTTAACCTTTTCGTGGTTATAGGTTTACCTTGAAATGAAATGTTCAAAGAATGGCAAATTCGTAAGGGCTCCGCGGAACCCAGTGTCTCGCCACCTTTTGCTGTTAGTCGCAGGCTCAACAAAAATGGGGAAAAAATTATTAAAAATTTTCCTCTAGATACTATCTTTTGATTGTAAGAAGTTCTGTTCAAGTTTGGTAAAAATCCAAGAAGATTTATGAATCTAATAAATGTTTTAAAAACTTTTAACTGCAGACTACGTAATGTTAACTGGAATAAAACTAAGTCCATTTATAAGTAATATACGGAAAAACAGGAAATAAAATTTTTACAAAATTTCCTTCTAGATACTAGCTTTTGATCATAAACAAGCTTCTGTCCAAGTGTGGTACAAATCCAGGATAGTTTAAGAAAGTTATTAAAATTTGAAAAACTTTAACAGCAGAGTGAATGTTATGTTAACTGGCAGAAAAACTAAGTCCATATATAAGTAAAATACGGATAAACAGGATTTTTTTTTTACAAAATTTAATTCTTATACTATCTTATGATTATAAACAAGCTTCTGTCCAAGTTTGGTTCAAATCAAGGATAGTTTAAGAAAGTTATTAAAATTTGAAAAGCTTTAACCACAGAGTGAATGTAATGGTAACTGGCAGAAAAACTAAGTCCATTTATAAGTAAAATACGGATAAACAGGATTTTTTTTTTACAAAATTTACTTCTGGATACTATCTTATGATCATAAACAAGCTTCTGTCCAAGTTTGGTTGAAATGCAGGATAGTTTAAGAAAGTTATTAAAATTTGAAAAACTTTAACCAAAGAGTGAATATTTGTGGACGCCGCTGCCGACTGAATGTAGGATCGCTATGTCTCCCTTTGCGACAAAAGTCGCAGGCTCGACAAAAACAACAAAATTAAATATCCACGAACATGCAAGTTTTCCTTAATCCATGAAAATTGGTACCCACGAAAATAAATGAATCCACAGTAAACATTTAGAATTAGTAGAATTTGGTGCTTTCAGATTGTGGTTAAAAGTACCCCCATCTTTCCTTAAAATACATAATACATTAATGGAACAGTAATTTTGCACACTGTTGAAGCATGTTTTGTTTAAATACTACATACAGCATACCTGCCAACATTTCAAAATGCCCATGGGGGTTTTCTGTGTGAGATGGGTCTTAATAGTCCAACAAAACCTTCAATGGGTCCTTCAAATGTATTTTAATGTTGTTTTTTTTTGCTTCTTCATACTTTTACTATCCTATAACCATGGTAAAATTGATTGTTTTGTTTTAAATTGTCGACAAAATTGCTCTTTCAAAATTTCCATTTGGGAACTGTCATGGGGGAAATCCCCCACAAATAGTGACAGTTGGCAGGTATGCATACAGATATATATCTACCTGTTTGTGTACATATGTTTATAATGAATTCAGTTTCTTCAGGTTCCTGACAATCTTTCAAGCCAAAAAGATCCAAATCTTTAGGCCACACCAATTTGATTTTTAGTTCTTCGGACAAAAGCTCCAAAAAATATGGGGCGAGCGAGCGAAATTTTTTTGATTGTATTTATTTCTTGAAAATGAGTTTTAATGAGGCGGGTGCTCTACAAGTGGAGCGAGCGGTATAAAATTTTTTTTAAATTGTGCGATTTAGAATTTTATGTTCATGTAAAACTGGTTACCTCAAAGAAAAAGGAAGATAAACATGCTCTTATTCATATAATTTGATGTATTTGTGCCTGTAGTACAGTCTGTACCATACACAACTCTCTGGTTCGCTTTGGTTTAGTATAATTTTGATTATTTTCGTCAAATAAGCTTTGACTGCCGCTCTGTGTAAATTTTCATTAAAAATTAAATTCATACATGTGTATATATTAAGGAAGCATAGCAGATGCAGTTTAGCAAGAGGAATTATGTTAGTGAGGTGAATTTAAATGAAATGTGTTGAATACAATTAAAATATGTGTATGTATTACAAAACTGAATGCCCTAGAAAAATATTAATTATCTTTTAATTTGATATAGTTGTTTTTATTATATGGTAATGATTGTTTAATTGGCTGCTTGACATCCAGTTGGAACTATTTATCCATAATAGGATCAACTTAATGTGTAAGGTGAATAGTTCAACAACATCCTCAGTAAGATAGTTATATTGCTATGCATGTAGATCTCAATTTATTAAAAAATTCCCTTAAAATACACATGCATTATTCTGACTTAGCAAAATATTTTTTTCCTTTTGCCCCTGAAACCTGCAATGTATTTTAAACTGTAAGTGGTTGCACCAATAACACATCCCTAATTATTATTAGCGTGCCAATCCCAATACCACCACTTTGGTCTCAAATGTTGGAACTTTTAAATTTTCCCTTACAAAAGAGTTCTGATTGCATGTCAATAGACTAACAAGGGGATATGAGGTTTTCATCAAAATAAGATAAATCTGTCACTTTTTAAAAACTCATGTGAATTTAATATTAATTTCATCCAAGACTTCTACTTCTACCAATACGCGGCCACATCAATAAGTTGATTATTTTGCCACTTTTTGGATGCACATTTAAAATTTAGACAAAAAATAAATATTGATTTGATTTGAATTTGTGCTATACATCATATATACAGTGAATTTAAAAACATCTTGGCGTTGATCTAGTTCATCTCATGCAGGTAAGTCTTGAAGCATTCAAGACTACCTGTATTGGTGGCAGTATGTGGTAGGGCATTCCAGTCTCGTATCGTCCTTGGGTAAAAAGATTCCTTCCGCACTTCGGTCCTACAAGATGGTACTTGGTATCCATTTGTGTTGATGTTTCTGGATAGCTTATCTGGTGGAATGAGAGTATTACTGGTGTCAACTTTCACCATCCCGTTAGACAGAACTGGTGTCAACTTTCACCATCCCGTTAGACAGATATATCTTTCTATGTCTGTTGTAATCCTAGATTACTCTGACGTCCAAAGGCTGGTCCCACGGCTCCAGCTTGTCTGGCAAAACAGCCGTTGGACGTCAGAGGAATCTCGGACTATGTCTGTTGAAACAATGATCGGGGATGACAATGGTTCTAACTTCTAACAAGTACTGATGTGATCGTGGTCACCTAACGAAAGATTTTTTTTATTTTTGTCTCCTATAACAGGTCTTCATAGGTAAAACGAAATGCGTTTAAAATAACTGTGTTTAATAACTACTTGTACTTGGCAATGATCTGACAACTTCATTTTGGCATCCTGATTTTTTACCTTTTATTTACAAATCGATTTACCACACGTGCGTTTGAATCGATCGGAGCAATATATGCACAAGAAAAACGTCTTTTAAAGAAAAAAAAATATCAAGGATAAACTAATTTTGGAGCGGCATGCGGCCCAAAAATTGGCGGAAGCGGTAATTATTTTTTTTATTGAAAAGTCAATTTCTCCAAAACAGGAGCGGGAAAATCCAAAGAACTATTAATCAAATTGGTGTGGCCTTATCTGCATAATAAAAAAAATCTTAGGCCAAATAAAAATATATGCATGGTTCCAGTTGCATTCTCAAAAGATACGGTCGCTAGGTTGGCATTGTTTTTTGGGATTGTCAAAATCCAGAAAAATAATTGTGTGTCACTGAGTCCGACTCTGGTATTGTACACGCCCCTACCGCAAGTTTGCCATTTTCTATATTTTTCGGTTTTAAAATAAACAGACATGTTACGTTTTTTAGTTAATTTTGTTGCATTCTGTTAAGAATTTGTTGCATTTTTAGCCTTAGTGGATAATTTTATTGGAAATTCTTATGACAGAAGTCTGTGAAATTAATTATTGAAATTCACATTCCATTAAAGGGGATTGTTCAAAATTTATTTTACAGAACTAAAAAGAAAATTTCTAGGGTGGGTCTGGTTACTGGAACCACACATATATTTTTTTATTTTGCCTTGTTATTCTAATGGGAATGATGGCAATTGGTCATATTTTAATCGAGGTAGGTTTTGAAAATTAGAATCAAAATGAAGGCAATAGTATGTGATTTAAAAAGAATTTTTGTTTCTGATTGTTGTTAACATATACTTCATTTTTTATGCCAGCACCGAAGCTGAGGGGGCATTAAGTGTTGTCCATCTGTATGTACATCCCAAAAGTGGTTATCGTTTTTAACTTTAAGTTGCCTCGACAAAATGTTTTGAAACTTATATAAAATGCTAATTACCACAAAACACTGTTCAGCTTTGAATTTAAACTGCATCAATTTACTGTTTGTCCCTTTATAATGTTATATGCAAGCAGGGTCATCATCTGTGTCACATTCTCCATTTATTTTGAACAATTGCTTTTAGAATCAGAACTAGGTACTGAAGCCCCAACGTTCCATTAGTTGATTTGTTTGTTGATGCATTTTTTGTCTTCATTTGGTTGTATTTTTCAAGCAGTTTAAATCCAACAATCATCTTGACTCTCTCATACTGTTCAGTAAAAGACCTCATTCCGGGATTTTCCGTTGCAAGTCTTCTGTATTTTGTAAAACTTAACTTCTTCACCAGTTCCTAGAATTGTATCAACCAGTGTTGTTGTTATTTTGTCTGGAAAAAACGATTTATTGATTTAAAACATTAAAGAAGACTAATGATCAGACTCAATGATTTGTAGATCAAACAGAGAGGTTTTTTTTATATTTTATTGTTTAATGTTGATTATCTGCATAGGGAATCAATTATATTAGGGTATTTTATGACCAAAAGGCTAGTTTAGCTAGTGCATTCTCAGAAAGTAGCCTGGAAACTCCAGACCAATTTAACAAACAAATTTTTTGGAGCAATGCTTCATTTTAACCCAATTTACATTCAGCTGTGCATATATTTGTGTACATGTACTTTAATACAGGGCAGGCATAGGCACTCAACTAGGATGTAATTGGGCTTGCATGCATTTTCTTGCAAAAATCATACATACTAGTTAACATATAGAATTAGTAAAATTTAGTGCTTTCAGATTGTGGTTAAAAGTACCCCCATCTTTCCTTAAAATACATAATACATTAATGGAACAGTAATTTTGCACACTGTTGAAGCATGTTTTGTTTAAATATTATATACAGTTATATATCTACCTGTTTGTGCACATATGTTTATAATGGATTCAGTTTCTTCATGTTCCTGACAATCTTTCAAGCCAAAAGGATCCAAATCTTCATCTGCATAAAAAAAAAACTTAGGCCAAATAAAAATATATGCGTGGTTCCAGTTACATTCTCAAAAAAAGATATGGTCCGTAGGTTGGCATTGTTTTTTGGGATTATCAAAATCCAGAAAAAAATCATGTGTTCACGGAGTCCGATTCTGGTATTGTACACGCCCCTACAGCAAGTTTGCCATTTTCTATATTTTTCAGTTTAAAAATAATCAGACATGTTACGTTTTTTAGTTAACTTTGTTGCATTCTGTTAAGAATTTGTTGCATTTTAAGCCTTAGTTGATAATTTTATTGGAAATTCTGCTATTATTCATATGACAGAAGTCTGTGAATTTAATTATTGAAATTCACATTCCATAAAATGGGATCGTTCAAAATTTATTTTACAGAATTAAAAAAAAGGTTCTAGGGTGGGTCTGGTAACTGGAACCACACATATATATTTTTTTATTTTGCCTTGTTATTCTAACAGCAATCATGGCAATTGGTCATATTTTAATCGAGGTAGGTTGTGAAAATTAGAATCAAAATGAAGGCAATAGTATGGGATTTAAAAAGAATTTTTGTTTCTGATTGTTGTTAACATATAGTTCATTTTTTATGCCAGCACCAAAGCTGAGGGGGCATTAAGTGTTGTCCATCTGTATGTACATCCCAAAAGTGGTTACCATTTTTAACTTTGCCTCAACCAAATGTTTTAAAACTGATACACAATGCTAATTACCACAAAACACTGTTCAGCTTTGAATTTAAATGGCATCAATTTTACTGTTTGCATGTACTTTCTTGCAATCTCTTGAAAAATCATACATAAACATTTAGAAATAGTAGAAATTAGTGCTTTCAGACTGTGGTTAAAAGTACCCCCCATCTTTCCTTTAAATACATAACACATTATTGGAACAGTAATTTTGCACACTGTTGAAGCATGTTTTGTTGGAATACTATATACAAATATATATTTACCTGTTTATGTAGATATGTTTATAATGGATTCAGTTTCTTCATGTTCCTGACAATCTTTCAAGCCAAAAGGATTCATATTTTCATCTGCATATTAAAAAAAAACATCAGCCAAATAAAAATGTATGTGTGGTTCCAGTTACATTCTCCAAAAAAGACAGGGTCAGTAGATCTGCATTTTTTTTTTTTTTGGATTGTCAAAATCCTGAAAAATTATCGTTCTTTCACTGAGTCTGATTCTGGTATTATACACGCCCCTACCACAAGTTTGCCATTTTTTATATGTTTAGTTGTAAAATAAACAGACATGTTACATTTTTAGTTAATTTTGTTGCATTCTGTTATGAATTTGTTGCATTTTTAGCATTACCCGTATGAAAAACATGACACGTACTCCAGCCGGACAGTAGCCGTACTGTAGCCGTACTGAGAACCGTACTTATAATATTCATTTGGACTTTTCTTTGAATTGCTTATAATAGATACCCCGGCTGGACTTTCAGCGAAATTAGCCGTAAACCGGCTCGAAATATTTAAATTAGCAGGAGTCCGGTTCATGAAGTCCAGCTGGACTTTAAAAAAAGTACGTCTGAATAAAAATCCAGCCGGCATTTATGGCAAAAATATGGACTCTATAAAGTTCAGCCGGACTTTACAAAGTACGGCTGAACTTTAAAAAGTCCAGCTGGACTTCAAAAAGTGCGGTTTGACTTTTAAAGATGATCTCAGCAGGGGCAAATCCTGCCATTTTCAAAAGGGGGGTTCCTAACTCAGGATAAAGGGGGGGGGGTGGTCCAACCCCCGGAACCCTCCCCCTGGATCCGCCACTGCTCAGTTTTTCTTCAGATGGTTGGTTCTTCTGATTTAATTTGCATCATGCATCCCTTGCTATAATCTGAAAATACAAAAGCAACAGATGACATTATGCATATATACTGGTTGTTTCTTTTTCTTTTTTGTACTGTCTTACTGGCAAAACCAAGAAATGGGGAACTGAGAAGCTAAATGCTAACTTCTAATAATTTGTGGTTATATATATAATAGCCTAAATAATTTTAAAGTGGCTAAAAATAAAATAAAGTTGGCTTTGAAAATCACTTAAAGTGTAGAAATTAAAAAACTTTCATAACAACTCAAATAATAACCATTCCTTAATACAGAGGGAATAAAAAATATAACAATACATTTTTTTACATAACCTGATAACAATTCAAAACAGGAAGTGACAGTGACATAACAGACAAGATGAAAATTATTGCATGAATATAAATATTTGATGTAGGTTTTTTATTCTTTTTGCTCTTCAAAAATTAGAATTAAGCTATTTATAATATTGTAATTATTCTATTTATATTTTGAATAAAAAGAGCATATCAGATAATACCACCAAAATGGTGGAATTCAATTTATTGTAAGTAACTTACCAGAATATGCAATCCAAAACACATGCAAACAGCAATCTTCCTAAATAATTTTGTCATTGATGCCAGTCAGAAGGATCCATCTTCTCTATTTAATGTGAAAAGAACTACTTCCAAACATTTGCTTTACACACAATTATGTAAAATTCTTATTTTGTTCAAGAAAGAAGACACATCTTCCTGTTTATTCCAAAATCAAATTGTGTTGTATTGCAATACATGAGGTTGTTTAAGGAGTTGTTTTAAATGTTCCTCTTATGACTAATTGCATGTGCCTTAATTTTGAATATGTGATAGATTAAAAAAAGAAAATCAATTATTAATTTGTTTAATTATGAAATTTTTAATAAAAGTGATAGTAATTGCAGAAATATGTATTTCGAAATGTGTTCTCCTACATATGGCCTCAATCTCTGTGGAGATAGTACTTCCTGTGACCTGTCCAGACTGAGGTTAATTGAAAACAGATGGCACATTTCTACAAGACTAATTGCTATTAAATCACTGTTATATGGCTCAAGTTTCTAATTGATGTTAAAGAATTTTCTAAGTCTAAATTCCTGCTCATAAATGAATGTTAAATTTTCTAAGACAAAAATCCTGCTGATCATTTTACAGAAAGGAATAAATTTCCTCAAAAGTCCAGCCGTGTTTATTTTCTTGTCAGCATTACAAAAAGTGCGGTTGGACTTTTAAGAAAATACCGGCTGGCAAATAACCCAAGTATAAGAAAAAGTACGTGTACGGCTCATGTCAGACTGGACTTTTCAAAGTCAGACTGGAATACGTCTCAAGTCCAGCTGGAGTCCAGTTGAACTCCTGTTGAAATTTTCATACGGGTAGTAGATACTTTTATGGGAAATTCATATGACAGAAGTTTGTGAATTCAATTGTTGAAATTCACATTCAATAAAATGGGATCGTTCAAAATCTATTTTACAGAATTCAAAAAAAAGTTCTAGGGTAGGTCTGGTAACTTGAACCACACATATATTTTTATTTTGCCTTAACTCTAACGGTAATCATGGCAATTGGTCATATTTTTATTGAGGTAGGTTTTGAAAATTAGTGTCAAAATGCAGGCAATCATATAGTTCATTTTTTATGCCAGCACCGAAGCTGAGGGGGCATGAAGTGTTGTCCATCTGTATGTATGTACGTCCCAAAAGTGGTTATCGTTTTTAATTTTAAGTTGCCTCGACAAAATGTTTTGAAACTTATATAAAATGCTAATTACCACAAAACACTGTTCAGCTTTGAATTTAAACTGCATCAATTAACTGTTTGTCCCTTTATAATGTTAATATATGCAAGCAGGGTCATCATCTGTGTCACATTCTCCATTTATTTTGAACAATTGCTTTTAGAGTCAGAACTAGGTACTGATGCCCCAACGTTCCATTAGTTGATTTGTTTGTTGATGCATTTTTTGTCTTCATTTGGTTGTATTTTTCAAGCAGTTTAAATCCAACATTCATCTTGACTCTCTCATACTGTTCAGTAAAAGACCTCATTCCGGGATTTTCCGTTGCAAGTCTTCTGTATTTTGTAAAACTTAACTTCTTCACCAGTTCCTAGAATTGTATCAACCAGTGTTGTTGTTATTTTGTCTGGAAAAAACAATTTATTGATTTATAACATTAAAGAAGACTAATGATCAGACTCAATGATTTGTAGATCAAACAGAGAGGTTTTTTTTATATTTTATTGTTTAATGTTGATTATCTGCATAGGGAATCAATTATATTAGGGTATTTTATGACCAAAAGGCTAGTTTAGCTAGTGCATTCTCAGAAAGTAGCCTCGAAACTCAAGACCAATTTAAATCATACATACTAGTTAACATTTAGAATTAGTAAAATTTAGTGCTTTCAGATTGTGGTTAAAAGTACCCCATCTTTCCTTAAAATACATAATACATTAATGGAACAGTAATTTTGCACACTGTTGAAGCATGTTTTGCTTAAATACTACATACAGATATATATCTACCTGTTTGTGTACATATGTTCATAATGGATTCAGTTTCTTCATGTTCCTGACAATCTTTCAAGCCAAAAGGATCCAAATCTTCATCTGCATAATAAAAAAAAACTTAGGCCAAATAAAAATATATGCGTAATTCCAGTTACATTCTCAAAAAAAGATACGGTCCGTAGGTTGGCATTGTTTTTTGGGATTATCAAAATCCAGAAAAAAAAAATGTGTTCACAGAGTCCGATTCTGGTATTGTACACGCCCCTACAGCAAGTTTTCCATTTTCTATATTTTTCGGTTTTAAAATACACAGACATGTTATGTTTTTTAGTTAATTTTGTTGCATTCTGTTAAGAATTTGTTGCATTTTAAGCCTTAGTGGATAATTTTATTGGAAATTCATATGACAGAAGTCTGTGAATTTAATTATTGAAATTCACATTCCATAAAATAGGATTGTTCAAAATTTATTTTATAGAATTAAAAAAAGTTCTAGGGTGGGTCTGGTAACTGGAACCACACATATATATTTTTTTATTTTGCCTTGTTATTCTAACAGCAACCGACATGGCAATTGGTCATATTTTAATCGAGGTAGGTTTTGAATATTAGAATCAAAATGAAGGCAATAGTATGTGATTTAAAAAGAATTTTTGTTTCTGATTGTTGTTAACATATAGTTCATTTTTTATGCCAGCACCGAAGCTGAGGGGGCATTAAGTGTTGTCCACCTGTTTGTACATTCCAAAAGTGGTTACCATTTTTAACTTTGCCTCAACCAAATGTTTTAAAACTGATACACAATGCTAGTTACCACAAAACACTGTTCAGCTTTGAATTTAAATGGCATCAATTTTACTGTTTGTCCCTTTATAATGTTATATGCAAGCAGGGTCATCATCTGTGTCACATTCTCCATTTATTTTGAACAATTGTTTTTAGAATCAGAACTAGGTACTGATGCCCTGACATTCCAGTAGTTGATTTGTTTGTTGATGCAGTGCATTTTTTGTCTTCATTTGGTGGTATTTTCCAAGCAGTTTAAATCCAACAATCATCTTGGCTCTCTCATACTGTTCAGTAAAAGACCTGTTTCCTGGATTTTCCGTCGCAAGTCTTCACTTTTAATTTCTTCACTGGTTCCTAGAATTGAATCCACCAGTCGTGTTGTTATTTTGTCTGGAAAAAACGATTTATTTATTTATAACATTAAAGAACACTAATGATAAGACTCAATGATTTGTAGATCAAATAGAGTTTTTGTTTTATATATTTTTATGTTTCATGTTGATTATCTGGATAAGGAATTATTGTCTCATGGACACATTCTCCATTTATTTATTCTATAGCAAATTAGAACTATCAAAAAATAACAAGGATTTTATAAGATTTTCAAACATGGCTTTTTAAACTATATGTTATAAAATTATGAAAAGATAAGTAGGGGTTAGTGGGCAAAATTGTAATGGCACTTCATGGATAAAACCAGAGGATTCTGAATATCTGACAAAAAGTTAAAAAAAAAAAAAAAAAAGAGCAACCATCCATTAGTATTAGTGTGTTTACGACACTTGGACAAAGACCATAACCATATATCCCCTGTGGTGCAAAGTAGACAAAAAGAAATTCTGACCAATCTCTTAAAACTTTCAAGCCTAATGCACATTATATTCCTATCAATTTTTATTTTAAGATGAAAATAAAATTTGTTTTCAACAGAGGAATTATATACCTACTAATTTATGAAAAGTATTAGACCACCCAGTTTTACTCCCCATCCATGAAAACAGTTGCTGTAATAACCTAAAAAGGAATTAAAATTGACACAAATTATATATTTTACGAAAGTGTTAAATTGTCAGCTAAAAAAAAATAGTTTTCTGACTTAATATTTAGCATAGCATCAATACCAGTTTAATATCTAAAAAAGCTGGAAAAACAAAACATGTTTTGATTTTGTTTCAACATAAATTTTTTTCTCAATAATCTATGAGTTATCTCCCATTGAATGACACATTCTTGCTGTTTGTTGTACTAGCCTCCCCCTGAAGGTGAAATCTGTCTCAGAATTTACTTTTCAAATGATATATTATTTTATTCATGTTACTGGAAACCAAATATCAAACTGATAAAATAACTTTCTTGGTACTTTGAATGTGGAAAATAAATGTTTGTTGTCGTATTTTCATAAAATTCTATGAAGATTTGACAAAGTAATTGATAACTGAAATATTTTAACCTTAAAATTATCTTAGTTGAAAACTACGAAAAAAAGTCCATATATTACATCGGTTGCAATGAAGGACTGTGATTTCCAAGTTAAATAAAAATTGATAATTTCCCTACTCTGATTTTATATACAGCAATGAGTGTGGCCAAAGACATTGTGGATGATGCCTGCATCAAAACAAAATTGAAATATATAGAAAAAAATATTTCTTGTATTTTATTCTTAGAAAAATAAAAAATGATATTATGTTCATTCTGTATAAAAAAAAAGCACAAGTTCATAAATATAAACGTTTTATTCCCCTAGATGGGAATTCAGCATCGATTTTACAATTGTAAAAACTAAATACCTTCATCATCATTATCTAGCAACTTCAGGTCTAGGACTGTATGTTCCTCTGGGCTCCAACCGCCTGTAATGTTCCTCTGGGCTTCATCCGTCTGTAATATAAACATGTCCACGGGACAGCCTGGTATGATGTAAATTACCTGCTCCTGGAATCTGTTACAAAAACAAAATAAGTTCAAAAATATTAAACCAAATATAAAACTTTTGAAAAATTTGCTTCTTTAGTTTTTACTTTTATTTTTGGCAGCTATCATCATTGATCAATTGTACTTTTTGACTATATTTCATTAACTTGTTTCATTTTAAATCTATATTTCAATCAGTAATGAAGACGGTTTAATGATATAATCATTATTTCCGAAATTAATGTGCGTGTCAAATTATCAGAAGTTGGTGGCTAACCAAAACAATCTGATGCATACATTTTGAACAGAAATGATTAAAATTCAACTGAATTTCAAACAATCTAAATCAAGTCATATTTTCCAAATTACTTTAAAAAAAATCGACTAAATATGTAGATATCCAAATTGACAATCGGAAACTTTACTTTCATACAGGTGAGACTATTAGAGAAAGGGTTTCCAAATATTGTTCATTTTTTATGCCAGCACCGAAGCTGAGGGGGCATTAAGTGTTGTCCACCTGTTTGTACATCCCAAAAGTGGTTACCATTTTTAACTTTGCCTCAACCAAATGTTTTAAAACTGATACACAATGCTAGTTACCACAAAACACTGTTCAGCTTTGAATTTAAATGGCATCAATTTTACTGTTTGTCCCTTTATAATGTTATATGCAAGCAGGGTCATCATCTGTGTCACATTCTCCATTTATTTTGAACAATTGTTTTTAGAATCAGAACTAGGTACTGATGCCCTGACATTCCAGTAGATGATTTGTTTGTTGATGCAGTGCATTTTTTGTCTTCATTTGGTGGTATTTTCCAAGCAGTTTAAATCCAACAATCATCTTGGCTCTCTCATACTGTTCAGTAAAAGACCTGTTTCCTGGATTTTCCGTCGCAAGTCTTCACTTTTAATTTCTTCACTGGTACCTAGAATTGAATCCACCAGTCATGTTGTTATTTTGTCTGGAAAAAACGATTTATTTATTTATAACATTAAAGAACACTAATGATAAGACTCAATGATTTGTAGATCAAATAGAGTTTTTGTTTTATATATTTTTATGTTTCATGTTGATTATCTGGATAAGGAATTATTGTCTCATGGACACATTCTCCATTTATTTATTCTATAGCAAATTAGAACTATCAAAAAATAACAAGGATTTTATAAGATTTTCAAACATGGCTTTTTAAACTATATGTTATAAAATTATGAAAAGATAAGTAGGGGTTAGTGGGCAAAATTGTAATGGCACTTCATGGATAAAACCAGAGGATTCTGAATATCTGACAAAAAGTTAAAAAAAAAAAAAAATAGAGCAACCATCCATTAGTATTAGTGTGTTTACGACACTTGGACAAAGACCATAACCATATATCCCCTGTGGTGCAAAGTAGACAAAAAGAAATTCTGACCAATCTCTTAAAACTTTCAAGCCTAATGCACATTATATTCCTATCAATTTTTATTTTAAGATGAAAATAAAATTTGTTTTCAACAGAGGAATTATATACCTACTAATTTATGAAAAGTATTAGACCACCCAGTTTTACTCCCCATCCATGAAAACAGTTGCTGTAATAACCTAAAAAGGAATTAAAATTGACACAAATTATATATTTTACGAAAGTGTTAAATTGTCAGCTAAAAAAAAATAGTTTTCTGACTTAATATTTAGCATAGCATCAATACCAGTTTAATATCTAAAAAAGCTGGAAAAACAAAACATGTTTTGATTTTGTTTCAACATAAATTTTTTTCTCAATAATCTATGAGTTATCTCCCATTGAATGACACATTCTTGCTGTTTGTTGTACTAGCCTCCCCCTGAAGGTGAAATCTGTCTCAGAATTTACTTTTCAAATGATATATTATTTTATTCATGTTACTGGAAACCAAATATCAAACTGATAAAATAACTTTCTTGGTACTTTGAATGTGGAAAATAAATGTTTGTTGTCGTATTTTCATAAAATTCTATGAAGATTTGACAAAGTAATTGATAACTGAAATATTTTAACCTTAAAATTATCTTAGTTGAAAACTGCGAAAAAAAGTCCATATATTACATCGGTTGCAATGAAGGACTGTGATTTCCAAGTTAAATAAAAATTGATAATTTCCCTACTCTGATTTTATATACAGCAATGAGTGTGGCCAAAGACATTGTGGATGATGCCTGCATCAAAACAAAATTGAAATATATAGAAAAAAATATTTCTTGTATTTTATTCTTAGAAAAATAAAAAATGATATTATGTTCATTCTGTATAAAAAAAAGCACAAGTTCATAAAAATAAACGTTTTATTCCCCTAGATGAGAATTCAGCATCGATTTTACAATTGTAAAAACTAAATACCTTCATCATCATTATCTGGCAACTTCAGGTCTAGGACTGTATGTTCCTCTGGGCTCCATCCGTCTGTAATGTTCCTCTGGGCTTCATCCGTCTGTAATATAAACATGTCCACGGGACAGCCTGGTATGATGTAAATTACCTGCTCCTGGAATCTGTAACAAAAACAAAATAAGTTCAAAAATATTAAACCAAATATAAAACTTTTGAAAAATTTGCTTCTTTAGTTTTTACTTTTATTTTTGGCAGCTATCATCATTGATCAATTGTACTTTTTGACTATATTTCATTAACTTGTTTCATTTTAAATCTATATTTCAATCAGTAATGGACGGTTTAATGATATAATCATTATTTCCGAAATTAATGTGCGTGTCAAATTATCAGAAGTTGGTGGCTAACCAAAACAATCTGATGTATACATTTTGAACAGAAATGATTAAAATTCAACTGAATTTCAAACAATCTAAATCAAGTCATATTTTCCAAATTACTTTAAAAAAAAATCGACTAAATATGTAGATATCCAAATTGACAATCGGAAACTTTACTTTCGTACAGGTGAGACTATTAGAGAAAGGGTTTCCAAATTGTCAATGTTAAGAGACTATTTGCTGTTATAATTAATTCAGAAATTAATGTGATGCATGTTTTAATTCAAATCCTAAATTGGAGTACAAGTATACTTTTTTCATTAGAGTATAAATTTGAAAAGAAATTTTGGACTAATTTGTAATAAATTTTCAAGCTGTTTCTCCAGGGAAAACTGATTTTATTACCTTACAACTATTAACAGTTTAAGTACAATTGTAACAACAAAATACCTACATCATCATCTTGGCATCTACAATTTAATCATCTCCATGTCTAGGACTGTACTGTCTTCTTCTTCTCTGTTGGCTCCCGTCTATCTGTAATACATATTCAAATTATTTTAATATCTATTAGACAACTATTAATAAATAAAAAAAAATATACTTACTTTCCGATGCATATGTTACCTGTCCTGACGTAAATATCCTGGGGCTGGTATCTGAAACAAAAACAAAATAAGTTCAAAAATATTGAACCAAATATAAAACTTAAAAAATTTGCTACTTTAATTTGTTTTTCTTTCAAAATATCTATAAAGAAAAACTGGCATTAATGGCAGCCATCATCATTGGTCAATTGCTCTTTTTGACTGTATATCATTAACTTATTTTCATTTTAAATCTATATTTCAATCAGTAATGAAGACGGTTTAATGATATAATCATTATTTCCGAAATTAATGTGCGTGTCAAATTATCAGAAGTTGGTGGCTAACCAAAACAATCTGATGTATACATTTTGAACAGAAATGATTAAAATACAACTGAATTTCAAACAATCTAAATCAAGTCATATTTTCCAAATTACTTTAAAAAAAAATCGACTAAATGTGTAGATATCCAAATTGACAATCGGAAACTTTACTTTCGTACAGGTGAGACTATTAGAGAAAGGGTTTCCAAATTGTCAATGTTAAGAGACTATTTGCTGTTATAATTAATTCAGAAATTAATGTGATGCATGTTTTAATTCAAATCCTAAATTGGAGTACAAGTATACTTTTTTCATTAGAGTATAAATTTGAAAAGAAATTTTGGACTAATTTGTAATAAATTTTCAAGCTGTTTCTCCAGGGAAAACTGATTTTATTACCTTACAACTATTAACAGTTTAAGTACAATTGTAACAACAAAATACCTACATCATCATCTTGGCATCTACAATTTAATCATCTCCATGTCTAGGACTGTACTGTCTTCTTCTTCTCTGTTGGCTCCCGTCTATCTGTAATACATATTCAAATTATTTTAATATCTATTAGACAACTATTAATAAATAAAAAAAAATATACTTACTTTCCGATGCATATGTTACCTGTCCTGACGTAAATATCCTAGGGCTGGTATCTGAAACAAAAACAAAATAAGTTCAAAAATATTGAACCAAATATAAAACTTAAAAAATTTGCTACTTTAATTTGTTTTTCTTTCAAAATATCTATAAAGAAAAACTGGCATTAATGGCAGCCATCATCATTGGTCAATTGCTCTTTTTGACTGTATATAATTAACTTATTTTCATTTTAAATCTATATTTCAATCAGTAATGAAGACGGTTTAATGATATAATCATTATTTCCGAAATTAATGTGCGTGTCAAATTATCAGAAGTTGGTGGCTAACCAAAACAATCTGATGTATACATTTTGAACAGAAATGATTAAAATTCAACTGAATTTCAAACAATCTAAATCAAGTCATATTTTCCAAATTACTTTAAAAAAAAATGGACTAAATATGTAGATATCCAAATTGACAATCGGAAACTTTACTTTCGTACAGGTGAGACTATTAGAGAAAGGGTTTCCAAATTGTCAATGTTAAGAGACTATTTGCTGTTATAATTAATTCAGAAATTAATGTGATGCATGTTTTAATTCAAATCCTAAATTGGAGTACAAGTATACTTTTTTCATTAGAGTATAAATTTGAAAAGAAATTTTGGACTAATTTGTAATAAATTTTCAAGCTGTTTCTCCAGGGAAAACTGATTTTATTACCTTACAACTATTAACAGTTTAAGTGCAATTGTAACAACAAAATACCTACATCATCATCTTGGCATCTACAATTTAATCATCTCCATGTCTAGGACTGTACTGTCTTCTTCTTCTCTGTTGGCTCCCGTCTATCTGTAATACATATTCAAATTATTTTAATATCTATTAGACAACTATTAATAAATAAAAAAAAATATACTTACTTTCCGATGCATATGTTACCTGTCCTGACGTAAATATCCTGGGGCTGGTATCTGAAACAAAAACAAAATAAGTTCAAAAATATTGAACCAAATATAAAACTTAAAAAATTTGCTACTTTAATTTGTTTTTCTTTCAAAATATCTATAAAGAAAAACTGGCATTAATGGCAGCCATCATCATTGGTCAATTGCTCTTTTTGACTGTATATCATTAACTTATTTTCATTTTAAATCTATATTTCAATCAGTAATGAAGACGGTTTAATGATATAATCATTATTTCCGAAATTAATGTGCGTGTCAAATTATCAGAAGTTGGTGGCTAACCAAAACAATCTGATGTATACATTTTGAACAGAAATGATTAAAATTCAACTGAATTTCAAACAATCTAAATCAAGTCATATTTTCCAAATTACTTTAAAAAAAAATCGACTAAATGTGTAGATATCCAAATTGACAATCGGAAACTTTACTTTCGTACAGGTGAGACTATTAGAGAAAGGGTTTCCAAATTGTCAATGTTAAAAGACTATTTGCTGTTATAATTAATTCAGAAATTAATGTGATGCATGTTTTAATTCAAATCCTAAATTTGAGTACAAGTATACTTTTTTCATTAGAGTATAAATTTGAAAAGAAATTTTGGACTAATTTGTAATAAATTTTCAAGCTGTTTCTCCAGGGAAAACTGATTTTATTACCTTACAACTATTAACAGTTTAAGTACAATTGTAACAACAAAATACCTACATCATCATCTTGGCATCTACAATTTAATCATCTCCATGTCTAGGACTGTACTGTCTTCTTCTTCTCTGTTGGCTCCCGTCTATCTGTAATACATATTCAAATTATTTTAATATCTATTAGACAACTATTAATAAATAAAAAAAAATATACTTACTTTCCGATGCATATGTTACCTGTCCTGACGTAAATATCCTGGGGCTGGTATCTGAAACAAAAACAAAATAAGTTCAAAAATATTGAACCAAATATAAAACTTAAAAAATTTGCTACTTTAATTTGTTTTTCTTTCAAAATATCTATAAAGAAAAACTGGCATTAATGGCAGCCATCATCATTGGTCAATTGCTCTTTTTGACTGTATATCATTAACTTATTTTCATTTTAAATCTATATTTCAATCAGTAATGAAGACGGTTTAATGATATAATCATTATTTCCGAAATTAATGTGCGTGTCAAATTATCAGAAGTTGGTGGCTAACCAAAACAATCTGATGTATACATTTTGAACAGAAATGATTAAAATTCAACTGAATTTCAAACAATCTAAATCAAGTCATATTTTCCAAATTACTTTAAAAAAAAATCGACTAAATATGTAGATATCCAAATTGACAATCGGAAACTTTACTTTCGTACAGGTGAGACTATTAGAGAAAGGGTTTCCAAATTGTCAATGTTAAGAGACTATTTGCTGTTATAATTAATTCAGAAATTAATGTGATGCATGTTTTAATTCAAATCCTAAATTGGAGTACAAGTATACTTTTTTCATTAGAGTATAAATTTGAAAAGAAATTTTGGACTAATTTGTAATAAATTTTCAAGCTGTTTCTCCAGGGAAAACTGATTTTATTACCTTACAACTATTAACAGTTTAAGTACAATTGTAACAACAAAATACCTACATCATCATCTTGGCATCTACAATTTAATCATCTCCATGTCTAGGACTGTACTGTCTTCTTCTTCTCTGTTGGCTCCCGTCTATCTGTAATACATATTCAAATTATTTTAATATCTATTAGACAACTATTAATAAATAAAAAAAAATATACTTACTTTCCGATGCATATGTTACCTGTCCTGACGTAAATATCCTGGGGCTGGTATCTGAAACAAAAACAAAATAAGTTCAAAAATATTGAACCAAATATAAAACTTAAAAAATTTGCTACTTTAATTTGTTTTTCTTTCAAAATATCTATAAAGAAAAACTGGCATTAATGGCAGCCATCATCATTGGTCAATTGCTCTTTTTGACTGTATATCATTAACTTATTTTCATTTTAAATCTATATTTCAATCAGTAATGAAGACGGTTTAATGATATAATCATTATTTCCGAAATTAATGTGCGTGTCAAATTATCAGAAGTTGGTGGCTAACCAAAACAATCTGATGTATACATTTTGAACAGAAATGATTAAAATTCAACTGAATTTCAAACAATCTAAATCAAGTCATATTTTCCAAATTACTTTAAAAAAAAATCGACTAAATATGTAGATATCCAAATTGACAATCGGAAACTTTACTTTCGTACAGGTGAGACTATTAGAGAAAGGGTTTCCAAATTGTCAATGTTAAGAGACTATTTGCTGTTATAATTAATTCAGAAATTAATGTGATGCATGTTTTAATTCAAATCCTAAATTGGAGTACAAGTATACTTTTTTCATTAGAGTATAAATTTGAAAAGAAATTTTGGACTAATTTGTAATAAATTTTCAAGCTGTTTCTCCAGGGAAAACTGATTTTATTACCTTACAACTATTAACAGTTTAAGTACAATTGTAACAACAAAATACCTACATCATCATCTTGGCATCTACAATTTAATCATCTCCATGTCTAGGACTGTACTGTCTTCTTCTTCTCTGTTGGCTCCCGTCTATCTGTAATACATATTCAAATTATTTTAATATCTATTAGACAACTATTAATAAATAAAAAAAAATATACTTACTTTCCGATGCATATGTTACCTGTCCTGACGTAAATATCCTGGGGCTGGTATCTGAAACAAAAACAAAATAAGTTCAAAAATATTGAACCAAATATAAAACTTAAAAAATTTGCTACTTTAATTTGTTTTTCTTTCAAAATATCTATAAAGAAAAACTGGCATTAATGGCAGCCATCATCATTGGTCAATTGCTCTTTTTGACTGTATATCATTAACTTATTTTCATTTTAAATCTATATTTCAATCAGTAATGAAGACGGTTTAATGATATAATCATTATTTCCGAAATTAATGTGCGTGTCAAATTATCAGAAGTTGGTGGCTAACCAAAACAATCTGATGTATACATTTTGAACAGAAATGATTAAAATTCAACTGAATTTCAAACAATCTAAATCAAGTCATATTTTCCAAATTACTTTAAAAAAAAATGGACTAAATATGTAGATATCCAAATTGACAATCGGAAACTTTACTTTCGTACAGGTGAGACTATTAGAGAAAGGGTTTCCAAATTGTCAATGTTAAGAGACTATTTGCTGTTATAATTAATTCAGATATTAATGTGATGCATGTTTTAATTCAAATCCTAAATTGGAGTACAAGTATACTTTTTTCATTAGAGTATAAATTTGAAAAGAAATTTTGGACTAATTTGTAATAAATTTTCAAGCTGTTTCTCCAGGGAAAACTGATTTTATTACCTTACAACTATTAACAGTTTAAGTACAATTGTAACAACAAAATACCTACATCATCATCTTGGCATCTACAATTTAATCATCTCCATGTCTAGGACTGTACTGTCTTCTTCTTCTCTGTTGGCTCCCGTCTATCTGTAATACATATTCAAATTATTTTAATATCTATTAGACAACTATTAATAAATAAAAAAAAATATACTTACTTTCCGATGCATATGTTACCTGTCCTGATGTAAATATCCTGGGGCTGGTATCTGAAACAAAAACAAAATAAGTTCAAAAATATTGAACCAAATATAAAACTTAAAAAATTTGCTACTTTAATTTGTTTTTCTTTCAAAATATCTATAAAGAAAAATTGGCATTAATGGCAGCCATCATCATTGGTCAATTGCTCTTTTTGACTGTATATCATTAACTTATTTTCATTTTAAATCTATATTTCAATCAGTAATGAAGACGGTTTAATGATATAATCATTATTTCCGAAATTAATGTGCGTGTCAAATTATCAGAAGTTGGTGGCTAACCAAAACAATCTGATGTATACATTTTGAACAGAAATGATTAAAATTCAACTGAATTTCAAACAATCTAAATCAAGTCATATTTTCCTAATTACTTTAAAAAAAAAATCGACTCAATATGTAGATATCCAAATTGACAATCGGAAACTTTACTTTCGTACAGGTGAGACTATTAGAGAAAGGGTTTCCAAATTGTCAATGTTAAGAGACTATTTGCTGTTATAATTAATTCAGAAATTAATGTGATGCATGTTTTAATTCAAATCCTAAATTGGAGTACAAGTATACTTTTTTCATTAGAGTATAAATTTGAAAAGAAATTTTGGACTAATTTGTAATAAATTTTCAAGCTGTTTCTCCAGGGAAAACTGATTTTATTACCTTACAACTATTAACAGTTTAAGTACAATTGTAACAACAAAATACCTACATCATCATCTTGGCATCTACAATTTAATCATCTCTATGTCTAGGACTGTACTGTCTTCTTCTTCTCTGTTGGCTCCCGTCTATCTGTAATACATATTCAAATTATTTTAATATCTATTAGACAACTATTAATAAATAAAAAAAATATACTTACTTTCCGATGCATATGTTACCTGTCCTGACGTAAATATCCTGGGGCTGGTATCTGAAACAAAAACAAAATAAGTTCAAAAATATTGAACCAAATATAAAACTTAAAAAATTTGCTACTTTAATTTGTTTTTCTTTCAAAATATCTATAAAGAAAAACTGGCATTAATGGCAGCCATCATCATTGGTCAATTGCTCTTTTTGACTGTATATCATTAACTTATTTTCATTTTAAATCTATATTTCAATCAGTAATGAAGACGGTTTAATGATATAATCATTATTTCCGAAATTAATGTGCGTGTCAAATTATCAGAAGTTGGTGGCTAACCAAAACAATCTGATGTATACATTTTGAACAGAAATGATTAAAATTCAACTGAATTTCAAACAATCTAAATCAAGTCATATTTTCCAAATTACTTTAAAAAAAAATGGACTAAATATGTAGATATCCAAATTGACAATCGGAAACTTTACTTTCGTACAGGTGAGACTATTAGAGAAAGGGTTTCCAAATTGTCAATGTTAAGAGACTATTTGCTGTTATAATTAATTCAGATATTAATGTGATGCATGTTTTAATTCAAATCCTAAATTGGAGTACAAGTATACTTTTTTCATTAGAGTATAAATTTGAAAAGAAATTTTGGACTAATTTGTAATAAATTTTCAAGCTGTTTCTCCAGGGAAAACTGATTTTATTACCTTACAACTATTAACAGTTTAAGTACAATTGTAACAACAAAATACCTACATCATCATCTTGGCATCTACAATTTAATCATCTCCATGTCTAGGACTGTACTGTCTTCTTCTTCTCTGTTGGCTCCCGTCTATCTGTAATACATATTCAAATTATTTTAATATCTATTAGACAACTATTAATAAATAAAAAAAAATATACTTACTTTCCGATGCATATGTTACCTGTCCTGATGTAAATATCCTGGGGCTGGTATCTGAAACAAAAACAAAATAAGTTCAAAAATATTGAACCAAATATAAAACTTAAAAAATTTGCTACTTTAATTTGTTTTTCTTTCAAAATATCTATAAAGAAAAATTGGCATTAATGGCAGCCATCATCATTGGTCAATTGCTCTTTTTGACTGTATATCATTAACTTATTTTCATTTTAAATCTATATTTCAATCAGTAATGAAGACGGTTTAATGATATAATCATTATTTCCGAAATTAATGTGCGTGTCAAATTATCAGAAGTTGGTGGCTAACCAAAACAATCTGATGTATACATTTTGAACAGAAATGATTAAAATTCAACTGAATTTCAAACAATCTAAATCAAGTCATATTTTCCTAATTACTTTAAAAAAAAAATCGACTCAATATGTAGATATCCAAATTGACAATCGGAAACTTTACTTTCGTACAGGTGAGACTATTAGAGAAAGGGTTTCCAAATTGTCAATGTTAAGAGACTATTTGCTGTTATAATTAATTCAGAAATTAATGTGATGCATGTTTTAATTCAAATCCTAAATTGGAGTACAAGTATACTTTTTTCATTAGAGTATAAATTTGAAAAGAAATTTTGGACTAATTTGTAATAAATTTTCAAGCTGTTTCTCCAGGGAAAACTGATTTTATTACCTTACAACTATTAACAGTTTAAGTGCAATTGTAACAACAAAATACCTACATCATCATCTTGGCATCTACAATTTAATCATCTCCATGTCTAGGACTGTACTGTCTTCTTCTTCTCTGTTGGCTCCCGTCTATCTGTAATACATATTCAAATTATTTTAATATCTATTAGACAACTATTAATAAATAAAAAAAAATATACTTACTTTCCGATGCATATGTTACCTGTCCTGACGTAAATATCCTGGGGCTGGTATCTGAAACAAAAGCAAAATAAGTTCAAAAATATTGAACCAAATATAAAACTTAAAAAATTTGCTACTTTAATTTGTTTTTCTTTCAAAATATCTATAAAGAAAAACTGGCATTAATGGCAGCCATCATCATTGGTCAATTGCTCTTTTTGACTGTATATAATTAACTTATTTTCATTTTAAATCTATATTTCTATCAGTAATGAAGACGGTTTAATGATATAATCATTATTTCCGAAATTAATGTGTGTGTCAAATTATCAGAAGTTGGTGGCTAACCAAAACAATTTGATGTATACATTTTGAACAGAAATGATTAAAATTCAACTGAATTTCAAACAATCTAAATCAAGTCATATTTTCCTAATTACTTTAAAAAAAAAATCGACTCAATATGTATATATCCAAATTGACAATCGGAAACTTTACTTTCATACAGGTGAGACTATTAGAGAAAGGGTTTCCAAATTGTCAATGTTAAGAGACTATTTGCTGTTATAATTAATTCAGAAATTAATGTGATGCATGTTTTAATTCAAATCCTAAATTGGAGTACAAGTATACTTTTTTCATTAGAGTATAAATTTGAAAAGAAATTTTGGACTAATTTGTAATAAATTTTCAAGCTGTTTCTCCAGGGAAAACTGATTTTATTACCTTACAACTATTAACAGTTTAAGTGCAATTGTAACAACAAAATACCTACATCATCATCTTGGCATCTACAATTTAATCATCTCCATGTCTAGGACTGTACTGTCTTCTTCTTCTCTGTTGGCTCCCGTCTATCTGTAATACATATTCAAATTATTTTAATATCTATTAGACAACTATTAATAAATAAAAAAAAATATACTTACTTTCCGATGCATATGTTACCTGTCCTGACGTAAATATCCTGGGGCTGGTATCTGAAACAAAAGCAAAATAAGTTCAAAAATATTGAACCAAATATAAAACTTAAAAAATTTGCTACTTTAATTTGTTTTTCTTTCAAAATATCTATAAAGAAAAACTGGCATTAATGGCAGCCATCATCATTGGTCAATTGCTCTTTTTGACTGTATATAATTAACTTATTTTCATTTTAAATCTATATTTCTATCAGTAATGAAGACGGTTTAATGATATAATCATTATTTCCGAAATTAATGTGTGTGTCAAATTATCAGAAGTTGGTGGCTAACCAAAACAATTTGATGTATACATTTTGAACAGAAATGATTAAAATTCAACTGAATTTCAAACAATCTAAATCAAGTCATATTTTCCTAATTACTTTAAAAAAAAAATCGACTCAATATGTAGATATCCAAATTGACAATCGGAAACTTTACTTTCATACAGGTGAGACTATTAGAGAAAGGGTTTCCAAATTGTCAATGTTAAGAGACTATTTGCTGTTATAATTAATTCAGAAATTAATGTGATGCATGTTTTAATTCAAATCCTAAATTGGAGTACAAGTATACTTTTTTCATTAGAGTATAAATTTGAAAAGAAATTTTGGACTAATTTGTAATAAATTTTCAAGCTGTTTCTCCAGGGAAAACTGATTTTATTACCTTACAACTATTAACAGTTTAAGTACAATTGTAACAACAAAATACCTACATCATCATCTTGGCATCTACAATTTAATCATCTCCATGTCTAGGACTGTACTGTCTTCTTCTTCTCTGTTGGCTCCCGTCTATCTGTAATACATATTCAAATTATTTTAATATCTATTAGACAACTATTAATAAATAAAAAAAAATATACTTACTTTCCGATGCATATGTTACCTGTCCTGACGTAAATATCCTGGGGCTGGTATCTGAAACAAAAACAAAATAAGTTCAAAAATATTGAACCAAATATAAAACTTTAAAAATTTGCTACTTTAATTTGTTTTTCTTTCAAAATATCTATAAAGAAAAACTGGCATTAATGGCAGCCATCATCATTGGTCAATTGCTCTTTTTGACTGTATATCATTAACTTATTTTCATTTTAAATCTATATTTCAATCAGTAATGAAGACGGTTTAATGATATAATCATTATTTCCGAAATTAATGTGCGTGTCAAATTATCAGAAGTTGGTGGCTAACCAAAACAATCTGATGTATACATTTTGAACAGAAATGATTAAAATTCAACTGAATTTCAAACAATCTAAATCAAGTCATATTTTCCAAATTACTTTAAAAAAAAATCGACTAAATGTGTAGATATCCAAATGGACAATCGGAAACTTTACTTTCGTACAGGTGAGACTATTAGAGAAAGGGTTTCCAAATTGTCAATGTTAAGAGACTATTTGCTGTTATAATTAATTCAGAAATTAATGTGATGCATGTTTTAATTCAAATCCTAAATTTGAGTACAAGTATACTTTTTTCATTAGAGTATAAATTTGAAAAGAAATTTTGGACTAATTTGTAATAAATTTTCAAGCTGTTTCTCCAGGGAAAACTGATTTTATTACCTTACAACTATTAACAGTTTAAGTACAATTGTAACAACAAAATACCTACATCATCATCTTGGCATCTACAATTTAATCATCTCCATGTCTAGGACTGTACTGTCTTCTTCTTCTCTGTTGGCTCCCGTCTATCTGTAATACATATTCAAATTATTTTAATATCTATTAGACAACTATTAATAAATAAAAAAAAATATACTTACTTTCCGATGCATATGTTACCTGTCCTGACGTAAATATCCTGGGGCTGGTATCTGAAACAAAAACAAAATAAGTTCAAAAATATTGAACCAAATATAAAACTTTAAAAATTTGCTACTTTAATTTGTTTTTCTTTCAAAATATCTATAAAGAAAAACTGGCATTAATGGCAGCCATCATCATTGGTCAATTGCTCTTTTTGACTGTATATCATTAACTTATTTTCATTTTAAATCTATATTTCAATCAGTAATGAAGACGGTTTAATGATATAATCATTATTTCCGAAATTAATGTGCGTGTCAAATTATCAGAAGTTGGTGGCTAACCAAAACAATCTGATGTAAACATTTTGAACAGAAATGATTAAAATTCAACTGAATTTCAAACAATCTAAATCAAGTCATATTTTCCAAATTACTTTAAAAAAAAATGGACTAAATATGTAGATATCCAAATTGACAATCGGAAACTTTACTTTCGTACAGGTGAGACTATTAGAGAAAGGGTTTCCA